CTCCCCTGGCACCTCAGGGTTCCCGTCCTTGCAGACTCCCCGCCCCCCCCACTGCACCCACACTCCCGGGGCCCTCCTGTTCCCAAAGCCACAAAACTGCTTTGTAGATCCCCTGACGATGCAAAAATCAGAAATAGCACACGGCTGTGATTAAGCACATACTTTTAAATCCCTGTTATTAATTGGAAGATCCCACTTTGAGAGAAAGGAGACTATCTCCATTTCAGAAAGCAACAGCCAGCTGACCCCAGTGTCAGCACATCTGGCCAGAAGCTGGCAGCACTCAGCAGAGATGGATTTAGCTCCAGCCCAGCCCACACTGACACGAAGCCACAGGTCTGAGCTCTCCCTCTCTGCAACAAAGCTCCAAGCAAACATTTCCGGTGAATTTGGTTTTGTTTATTCTACGTTTTCATTAGAAAGTGCAAAGAACTGTAAGCAAGCTGCTGCCATTTTGTGTCCCTCTTAGCACATATGAGCTCAGCCCAAGCTCCGTGTCCTCCCACTTTTGCTGTGAAGTCCTGGATAGAGTGCTTTGTTGCCTCCCAATTCATGTGTGACGAGTTAGACCTCAACCAGATGTTACGTGGGCAGAAATACCTATTTGAAGTTAAAAGCCTGTGATTATACTTGCCAACAAGCCATTAAGAAAGTATTAAATGCAGAAATTATCCCCCCCTTCTTGTTTCAATACAATAGCATCTTTATAATACACTTGTTTAAGTTGCCTACTTTTAATTTTAGTTCCCTTGTTTCTAATAGCACACGCAGAACCATTTCACTTTATCAATAGTTCCTGTGAGCTGGAAAAGAGTCAGGGAGAAAAAAAACCCAATATCCTTGAGAATTAGACAAAGGGGAAGAAATTAGCCGGAAGATCTTGCTTTCTCTCTGCTGTTAACGTAACTTCTCAATTTACTTTATCAGATTGCCTTCCGAAGAGAAGTATTTTTCAAGAGGAGCAGAGATGAAAGGGATTATTACGTACAAAGACTCTTCTTTAAAGAGATAAAATATTTGGCAATTAAAGCACAAGAAGCTGCAGACTCACAAGGAAAGCAGTGACTTCACTGGAGCAGTCACATTACCATATTTCCCGCTAACCCCTCGTTACAGAAAGCGATAACACCACTGTGAAGTGCTGCTGCAGTGGAGGGGCTCTCCTGCCCGCTGCCCAGCCGCAGCAGCCCAGGCGCGGGGCACAGGGCCACCAGCCCTCTCGTGCTGCAGCCCATGGGTGGCTGTGTCCTGGGAGCACGTGGACATGGGAAAGGGCCAGCCCTTGTCCCAGAGCCACTTCCATCCAGTGGCTGAATGGGACCACGTGCTTGGAAATTAGGGTATTTAACAAGCTCCTGTGAGAGAGAGGGTCTGGCTGTCCACGAGGGCTGCAGGTAACCTGCCCAGGGCTGAAGTGGAACGTGCTGGAGTCTCTGCCATCGGTGGCTTTGAAGTCAAGGCTGAATTTTCCCGAAAATCTGTTAGTTCAGAGGGAATGGCTGGGAGGGCAGAGACCTGGGCAGCCCTGGGGCTGGGGCGGTGCAGGGCAACTGGGAGCAGCCACAAAAGGGGCAAAACCCCCATTTCCACACAGGGCAGAGGGACTTGAGGCAGACCTTCCCGGGGGGAGCCCGGGCCTGTCCCGTGGGCAGGGCCAGAGGACGCTGCTCCCGTGGGGCAGAGGTGCTGGCCCCAGGTGCGGGTGCAGCCCCCGGCAGGGCAGGGATGGGGCCAGGTGGCAATTAACAGCTATTAGGGCACGCAGGGCCCCCCGACAATCCCACAAGCTGTGGCACAACCTTTGCTTTCTCCTACTGGGGTTGATAAACATTTAAACATAAAAAAAGAAATCAATAAACCCTAGCAGGAGATGAACCCTTGCGTTTGCAAGCAGCAAAGTCTGCGTGGTGCCTGGGGGATGGCCGGGAGGGATCACGACAGGAGCCCACAGCAGACGGCGGAGCAGTTGCGTGTTTCCATCCCACAGTAAATATGAGATTCAGTTCCTGAATCTCCGCTGCTTTTCTTTTTTGTGAAAGACCCTCTTTTCTGTGGGTTATTAGGCGGGAGAGCCACCCAGATGTGCTTCCTCTGAGGTCTCTCACTCGGCGCAGTTGTCTGTTAAGCTGGATGATGGCAGAGACTTATCTCCAGCAGGATGAGAAGGTGCCAAGCAGGGCCAACCCCATCCTGGGAGGCAGCATGGGGACCAGCCTTGAGCACGACGAGCGCTCATGGTCCTGCCACCCGCACCCGCGCGACAACAATCTCCTTCCCGGTGAGGGCAGCTGCTCTGCGGGAACCGGGGGCTCACTGGGGTTTGCTTGGCTCCCGCAGGCACCCACCAGCCACGCGGGACCAAGGCCAGTGAGCTGCCGCTCTTCGCCCAAGCCGCCTTCAGCCAGCTCAGAGTTGAACCACTTTTAATGATCAAACATGTGATTTTTGTCTAAGTGTTTGTCAGCAAATGAAGATAATGCTCTTCTGCTTTACAGGGGTTATTCCAAGGATTAATTAGTTGATGTTTCTTGAAGTACTTTGAAGATGTGGAGTGCTAGATAAGTGCTGCGCTTTATAAGCTGATCAGGCACTGCAGTTATTTTTCCATTTTGCGTCTCATTCCCAAAGTGTTTGTACAAAACAAATTCCACATGAGCATGCGGTTACTGTAGGCGCTTCTCACATTGGGGCTTTGCAGGGTGGCAGCAGATGCCCCCACCCGCCCTCAAAGCTGTGATTTCCCCTGTTAGTATAACGTGTCCCAAAGGAGAGGAGCCAGACCCTCCTGGCACTCTCAGGGGGCCCTGCCGTGGCCCCACTTCCCCACCCCGGTCCATGGGACACGTCCCCACCAGCACAGGCGGCAGCAGTCACCCGGAGTGGGCGGCAGCGTTCGGGGGTGCAGTGAGAGACCCTCCCAGCACTGCTTGCAGGGATGTGAGCCGGAGGGGACTGCACCTCTCGGGCAGCTCATGTAGAGAGAAATCTCTTTTCCTCCCATTTCATGAGCAGTTTTCTGGCAGCGAGTAAAGCGCAGGGTCTCAGCTCTCACAGAAGGAATGCGCATGTCGTTGCGGACAGGCCGACCTTTGCATCTGCTCCTGGCTGTTCCTGGCAGCCGGGGCTCCCGAGGGGGACCCTGAGCAGAGCAAGCCAGCCACCCAGCTATGCCGGCTTCTTGCCCTTCCTGCCACAGCAAGACGAAGCCTAATGAGCCACATTTTCTAAAGAGATTAAAATACTTGATGAACATGTGATGCTCAGCACAAGCGTGACTCTGGTAACTGCTGCCAGCGGCTGCACCTTTGTCCCCCTCATGCTCAAGGCAAGCAGCAGTGTCTCAGGGGAGCGAGTGTCAGATTTTGCAGGACTTGTTTCAGGTTAGAAGACGGTTTCTGGTGAAGAATCATTACTGCCCCATCAACGCTAATTCAAGCTGGAGAAATCATTGGCATAATTATTTACAACTGTGCAATTTCTGAAAATTGTATTTTTGTTACCATAGTTATTGATCTTGAAAAGGGCTATAAATTAACTTGACAGTTTACATAGTCCTTCACACTTGGATTATTTCTCTGCTTGACTTGCGCTGTGTGTTGAACTTTCAGCACCATCCAATTACAGTCATTCAAAGAGTGTATTTAAACATTTTTCTTATGCAACTGAAAGATATTTTAATTATAATACAGAAGAACTTGAAGCAAATACCAAGTCACCCCCACATCGCAGGACAGCTCGCCTTGAGGTGGGTGCGGGGGGATGCCGAATGCCTGGCTTCATGGCAACGTGGGTGTGGCCTGGCCCTGCTGCAGCTCTGGGAGGGCCGGGGGCCCCGGGAGCCCCCCAGGTGCTTGGCAGCGGTGGTCCCCACGGGGCCAGCACCTCCCCGGGGCGCCCAGGCAGCTCCGTGTCCTCTCACCCTGGAGCAGGGCCCTCAGCCAGCACCAGCAAAATGCAATTCTCACCTGGCCAGACCAGTTCACAGCTTCACATGTTCAGTGTTTGTCCCCAGAATTGATCTCTGATGGAAAAAGGGATGCTTAATGACACATAAACACCTCATAATTCATCCTCTGTGCTCTCTGGAGACTGTGACAGGAACAAATCACAGCCAGCCTGGGTTTCTGGGGGGCCCACAGCATCTCTGGCCAGAAATGGCCAAATCCTGCACCCTGCAGGAGTGCGGTGCAAGTGGCAGCATGTGGGACAGTCACCGCTGGGTGACGCAGTGGGGACTGGAAGGACGTGGCATGGTGGCCACCCAGGGCTGTGCCCGTGCCCAGCAGGTACTGCTGCGGCCCCGGCCCCTGCCTCGGGGACAGGGATCTTGAGCCCTGGCAGTGCCAGAGCTGCCATCCCGAGGGGCTCCCAGCACCTGCCCTGTCCTGCCCCATCTCCCCTGGGGCACTGCCACTGTGGGGCCGTGCGGAGACGCGGCACTGGTGAAACAGGGATGGGAAGGGGCGCAGGGGACCCAGGGCCTTACGTAAAGGGTTTGTGGCAATCCTGTGGCTTCAGAGGGAAGATGACTGTGCTTCATCAGAAGTGAACTGGGAAAATCAGCAACATCTGGTGCCTGCTGGCTAGGACGCCTCCCTGGCATGTGAGGAAAATCTCCAGTTGTCCTCTCAGATTAAGGGATTTTACTGTTTGCTCACAGTTTTGTACATGCAAAACAGGCTGGCCCCGGCCAGGCTCGGAGGTCCCCTTGCTGCAGCAGGAGCCTGCCCGAAGCCCCAGCTTAAATCCCTGCCCAAAGCCCCAACATAAATCCCTGCCCAAGGCCCCTACCCAAAGCCCCAGCCTAATCCCCCAACCCAGCCCCCCTATCCAGACCCCCAACCCAAGGAGCTATCTGCGCTCGCTGCTCTGGCCAGCCCTGCATGGACACCCCACCCTTGGGAAGTGTCTTTTGGGATGACTCTGGGGCAGTGTGGAGCTCGTGGCTCTGGCAGCCTGGCCCCAGCGCCCCGCACTCCCCCCAAGTAGGTGGCTGCAGCTCGCTGCATAGTATTTATTCATTCTATCACAGAGAAGAAAATCTCATTAAATTAGTCCAGGTTTCTGCAGGGACACCTGGTGCCGGTAGGTGGAAGGTGGCCAGGGGTGGGGGTCCAGCATTTCATCATTCACAGTGATGGGAGATGGGGCAGAGATGCCGTCCCTTGCCAGGGCCGGCTGTGCCCCATGGGGTGGGGTGGTCAGAGCCGAGCTTGCCCAGGCAGGGTGGCCGGATGTGCGGGGATGCCCTGCTGTGGCCCCTCAGACCTCCAGCTTCTTCTTCATCTCCATGCGGTAGATGATCTGGTAGCCGTCATCCCAGGCGTAGATCTGCCTCTCCCGGGGGCTGTATTTCATGCTGGAGTGGGAGCCATAGCGCTTGGGGAAGTAGACAAGGGAGGCGTCCTCGGGGGCCAGCGTGCCACTGACATCGAAGACGCACTGCACGCGGGAGCGGCTGGGCAGGCGGGTGTTGTAGACCACGTGCAGCGTCCCGCACACCACGAAGGCGCCCTCAGCATTCTCCCGCGGGCATGGCGTGTCCCACATCTGCTCGATGTCCAGTGAGGTGGGGTCCAGCTTGGCCAGGCATATGTTCTTCTCGTCCTCCTTGGTGGCGTAGATGGCCCAGAGCCCCTCTTCGTCGGCCGCCACCTCGATGTAGGTAAAGGGGGAGAGCCCAAAGACAGGGATCTGCTCTTCAGCTGGGAACACCGAGCTGTCCACCACCGTCTTGTTGGCCAGGTTGAACTTGATCACCTGGAAGGATCCCTGCTGGCGGATGTAGTAGAGGTGCCCATCATAGACGAGGTGCCCAGTGCCCACCCAGGGGTAGGGCAGCTTGATGCGGGCGGCCTTGCGGGTGGCAGAGAACAGGGTGAACTCCCGTATGCGGGGGAAGACATACACCGTGTCGTTGGCAGTGCCGTCGAAGACGTAGATCTTCTCGGAGTTTCCTGTGGCATCCTTGGTCCACAGCCCTGAGGTGCTGCCGAAACGCTTCAGGATCTTCATGGCTCTGACACTTGCGATGGTATCGCTGCAGTCTGCAAGAGCAGGGCAGCTGTGAAAGCCTGGAAGCCACCCGGCCCTGCAGCGGGGACTGTTCCCTCCCCGTGCCAGTCACACAGGTCCCGCTGCATCCCACCCCGGCCCTCAGGCAACTGCCTTGCAAACTCGCTGAAGAGGTTGCAGTGCTGTCCCTGGTGGCATCGAGAAGTCCCCTTGTGCACCCGTGCCACGGGCAGGGGAGGCCACCCTCATGCCAGCTCTGCCCCAAGAGCTCTGGAGAAGCCGAAGGCCTGGGGCTTGGATGCGGCTCCCAGGCAGCTGTGGGGATGCAGGATTTTGTGCCAGAGACACCTGAGAGATGCCCTGCCATGGACGTAATGCCATGGCGCACGGCCGGGGGAGACTTGGACCTGGGTGGGCTGGGAAGCCCTGGGGTAACCCCACCCCCGGGTCCATCTCTCCGGGGAGCCACAGCAACCCCTCACCTGTGAGCTTGGTGTATTTCTCATTCTTCCTCTGCTTGGCTGTGGCCACCTGCTTCTCCATCAGCGTCTCATCCACCTCCACGCAGGGTGGCGCAGGGTTCTGGGTCTCCAGGTAGTCCACCTCACGCTCCAGCCGGTCCACACGCACTGCTGCGCTCTCTGCCTCCGACCGCATCGCCTCCCGCTCCTTCTCCGCTGTCTCAAGCATCCCCAGCACCTGGTTCTTGAAGTCCCGCAGCTCCGTGGAGTAGCGGCTGCTCTGGTCATGCCACTGTGAGATCCTCTCCTGGGATGGCCAAGCGGACACTGAGATCTCTGCACTTCACAGCCCAGCCACGGTAGCCATCCCACCGCCTGCGCGTGGCTGTGGGAGCCCCCAGAGCCACACGGCACTGCAACGCTGGCGCTCGCGTCTCTGGGTCCCATCCCACCACGCTCCTGCACCCGCGGTGCTCCCAGAGCCCCGGTGCTCCCAGAGCCCCAGTGCTCCCGCACCTGCGATGCCCCCGCTCCCACGATCCGCCTGTCCCACAGTGCTCCCATGCCCATCACGCTCCTGTGCCTGCGAGGCTCGTGCTGGGCTGTGCGGGGCCCTGGCAGGGGCAGGGGCACCCCACACCAGCTCTGCTCTGTCCCCAGCCCAGCTCCTCCTCGCCCCAGGCCTGCTTCCACCACCAGGGCGGAAGGCCCCGGGAGCCCCACGGCAGGGCTAAGTGGGGCCAGCGTGGGTCCCTACCTCCAGGAGGGTGAGTCGCCGCTCCACGTACTCCATGAACTGCTGCTGCTGGGCGTGGAGGGCCACGGCGAGGAGCGGCAAAAGGAGCAGGCAGCGCCAGGGCCCCATGGCTGTCAGAGAGTGCAGCCTCCACCTCAGTGCTCAGGAATGCTCCGGCCTCTCGAAGCCCTTATTGAATCCAGATGTGAAGAGGGGAGGAGAGGCTGCTCCACTCCCCGCAGACCAGCCCCAGGCGCCTTAACCCCTTCGCGCCCCAGCGGGTGCCCACACTGACCCTGCAGCGTGCCAGCGAGCCGTGGGGCCGGGGCAGGAGCCCGTGGACACGCTGCTGCGGGTGCATGTGGCATGCGGGGAGTGAGCAGTGGGGAGTGCTGCAGCAGCCCCATGCAGCAAGGGTAGGACGTGTCCTCTGGCGCTGGGGACAGTGTGAGCGGTAGCGTGGGGACAGTGTGAGCGGTAGCGTGGGGCCAAGCTGGGCCTGGTGCAAAGCCACGGGCACAGCCACGGCCCTGGCTCCTGGTGTGCCGATCCGCAGAGGTGCCCGAGGCAGACGGCCAGCCGGAGCTTGCCTCGGCCACACTCCAGGTCTGGTGGAGTCAAAGCTGGGCCAGCACTGCGGCCACCAGCCCCCCGAAGCCTGCGGTACCCCCTGTCCTGGCTGCTGAGCCGGGAGCTCCTGCCTGCCCCTGCCTCACGCTGGGGTCCTGCAGAGTCCCCCCCTGCCCCGAGAAGAGCCATTCTGGCCCAGCAGCTCAGTCAACTGCCAGCAGTCATTCCAGGGGCTGCCCCACCAGACATGCCTGCACCCTGTCATTTGGGGACGTTTGCTCAGCGCCTGCTCCTGAGGCTGCCCGAGTGCCACTGTGGAGCCACACAGCAGCTCCTGCACCCCTTGTGCTGGCCGAGGGACAGGGCAGGGCCCCGGTGCAGCGTGATGGACAGAGACTGCAGCTCCGTGCCCAGGACGCAGCCAGGCCCGCGGTCGCACCTGCAACCCGCCCAACCTGGCGGTGCTGCCGGCACCGGCCGGGGCACCAGCCGTGGCCCGTGGGTTTCCTGGGCTCTGCCTGCAGATCTGCATGGGGTTGAGGGTCTGCCGCATCCATGCACAGGACTGCGGTGCTGCGCGCGGGGCGAGTGTGCCACCTAGTGCTCCTGCATCCCGCGTCCTGCCAGGCTGCACAGCACAGGCCACGCAGGGCCCCCAAAGGAAGCTGCCGTGCTGGCAGGGGCCGGGCTCGGCCCCAGCACCTCTCTGCTGCCTTTCACACGAGGCCATTGCTTGGACGACTGGGACTGGGGTGCCAGCGAAGCACAGTTCACCCGCGGGCCAGGGTGCATCTCCACCTGCCTGGGTTAGTGACACTGAGCACGCCAGCGCTCGGCCCTTCGGTGCTTTTAGGGCGGTTGACTGAGCCCACCCCAGGCGCCGAGGTCGCTGGGGAGCTCAGCCCACGCTGGCGCTGGAGCAGTTTCAGGCTGACACTGGTCTCTCACGCTTCTTGCCCCGCTCCCGCAGGACTCACCCCGCAGACTCTGTTGGATGCGCCCCAGACGCTCCTCTGGGCAAACGCAGCAGACACAGGCTGCTGGGTCCAGGGAGGACCTGGGCTGCCGTGGGAGGTGCAGAGTGCCCCCGGGACCCAGGGACTTGCACCAGGCAGGGGGCTTTGGCAGCCATTTCCTTCCGCAACTGCCCCTGCAAGGACAGGACATCTGAGAAGAGGCCTTCTTCACTGGCAGTCTCCCCCCGCCAGCCCACCCAGAGGCTTCCAAAGTGCTCCCCAAGAGACAAACACTGAGCCTTCCTCTGCACTCCCAACCCCATCGCTGCCCAGCCTCAGTTACAGGCGTTCTGGGAAGGGAGGGACTCTGTCCTCACCTCCTACTGAAGTCTTCCCGGGCATCCAAGTGTCTAGCAAGATCAGAAGGGAGAGATTATTTTCAGCACCTCCCAGCAGCATCTAACCCAAGTAGGATTCAGACCAGAATGAGAGACTATACAGCAGTACAGCCACCTTCAGCAGTCCTCAGAGCACCTAAGCTAGACGTGCGAAGTCAAGCGCATTTATGAACATAAACCGAGGTGATGGGAAAGCTTTTTTTTCACTTGAGATAGTCCTGATCACCGGCTTACCCCCCAGGAGCACCACCAACAGCCGCAGGGCCCGTGGCACAGCAGCTGCCCAGCTGGTACAGCTCGCCGGGGGCTGGTCCTGCCTCAGCTGCTCGAGCCAGGGCCCAGCTCTGCTGCCCGGCACGGTGCGACACACACTGCCTTCGCTCTGAGACGAGCTTGCAAAGGATCTCGCGCACACTACCCCTGAATGTACAGCTGCACCACGCTGTCAGCAGCGAAGGATTAACAGTTAGTGCTCATATTTCATCCTGGATATGCCAAAACCCCTTTTCCGTCCCCTTTAATAGATCAAGTGACCAAATGAATAGAGTACAGAAAATTAACCCTTTTTATTGATGCATTGCAATTGTTCTACATTTTTACCATATTATGTAGAAAATACTTAAAATACAAGCTACTTTGTAAAACCAAAGACAAACATTGAATCCAAAGATAAACTATGTTTTCACAATGGACCCTTTTCCCATATAGTTAGTATTAAATTTTTAAATATCTATTTCTTTTGTTAAAATGATTTTTACATACCCCCTAAGTACATCAGCAATACAAACATAGATCAGTAATTGTCAGAAACTACCTGTATCTAGCGGCTTGTAAAAAGGAAAAGCACAACCATAAAAGAAAGTTAAATTTTACACAGTAACTAGCATATCAAATACATTTAATAAAGGAGGAATTCCATTGCAATATCAAGGATTCAAGCAGAAATACTAACATTACATATAATGTACTGCTACATGTAGTGAGATAGATATATTTCAAGCTGAATCTGAAATCACACATTATATAAAGTTTAGCAACAAACAACCATGTGGACATGCGGCACCATTCAGAAGTTTAAATAAAAAAGAAAGCAGGGCTGTGCCAATCCTGTCATTTAGAAGCAATTTAGTTTCATGTACTAAAAGAAATTGCCGAGTCAGAGGTAAATTACTGCGTCCCATCAACTAGGTGCTAAGCAGGAAAGCCTCAGAAGTTGCCTCTGCAGTGGCTATCACAGCTGCGAATACACGTCAGGTAATAGGAACTACTGATTTAACAGTTCAAGAATCACACAGACAAGTCTAGATGGGACTACGGTTATCAAATAGTAAAAAGGTGAATCCCAAACTAGTTTTAAAAAAGTTAAAGGACTCCCAATTTCTATCCAGAGATAGCACATTTCTTTACAAAATATGTGTAGTGGCTCCGACAATGAGGAGAGTCAATTCTTTAACCTAATTTGAAGCTGGATATGCAAGGGAAGAAGGGATGTATCTCCTTAGAGCAGACTACAATACACTTAAATTGGGCAGTACATACGGGGGCCAGGCTGGGATTCGACGCACGTGTGAAGCCAGCACCAAGATGAAAATCTGACCCTGCTGGGGTGGGGTTTTTTGTTTGCTTGGTTTATGCTGTGTATCACAGAGGAATTTCAGGGTAATTGACAACTTGTTTTAAATGGAGTACTTGTCATTTTACCTATGTCATTTCCATCTTGTCCTCCTTGTTCCAATACTTTTGGAAACTTGGGACAGTGGAAGACATGACACCATGCTTTGTGAATACATTTGATGGGGTTTAATTATGTAATAGGGACTCTGAAGATAAATGGTCATTTTAATCTGCCTTTTCAGGGGGGAAGTAGGCAAGTTCTTCTCAAAATTATTAGCAGATTTTGCTAGAGATCTTTTTTTCCTGCTACGACTTCATGGAAAACGCTTTACTGCTTGTGAAACAGGGAGTAACGTTTTCCTGAAACACAGGAATCGGAGCTTGTTTTGCCTTTTGGTGGAAAGGCACAACTCTGTACCCAAGAGGTATCTCAAGGCAAGTACTGAACACAAGCAATGTAATATGGAAAAAAGTAAGAAAGTGCCTACAGCAACAAATAGCATCGTTTACACCAATGATGTGGCATAGCAAGATCAGTTGGTTATCCGCACACTTACAGAAGTGCTCTGACTAAAAATACACTGAACAACAACGTCACTAATGCTACCGTCCAGTTCCAAAGTCCTTGATCCCTCTATTGAAAGAGATGCCAAACCTTAAACAGTTCATCAACTTCAGGTCAGTCCAGACTTTCTTCTATCAATAATGTGGAATTTCAGAAATGACTTTTGCACTTCTTGTCACATACCGGTCAGAGAACTGGCCTCTTTTCCACTGGGACGGAACATAAACTGGGATTCAAGGTTACCAAAACCTCTTATTGCTGCAGTAATATGACCGCTCAAGCCAGTTTATCATCCATTTGGACAAGATACTTAATCTACATACTGAAGATGAGAAATAATTCCTAGTACAAGGGACCCAAGAAAACAAAGTGTAGTTTAAAAACTGCACTGATTATCCAAAATGAGTATTTCCTCTGAACACTAACTAGGGCTACAGGTGACAAACCTTCCCAACAGCTCCACATTAGCAGTAGCATTATAAAACTTTTTTAATGGTATTATGTGCTTTACAGCAGGCTCTCTTTGGTATAAATATTCTATCACCAAGCTAGCAATATTTTACAAGAAATGTCTGCTATTAACGTGGGGGAAGGTAACGCCATACTAATCTAATAAAAAGTGATTGCACATTATTTAATCACTTCTGCAATATTAGACTAAACATTCCAATGCATTCCCAGCACTACCTTATTCGAAATGCACTGACAGACATCTAACAGTACATGTGCCATTTCAAGGAAAAGCTTTAAGGAAACATCGCTTCACTCCAAACAAAAATGTAGCTTTTTATGATAGCATTAAAACTGAGAACAATGCACCTATGCAACATACTGCTGTTCTTGCTGTGATAAGCTTAGTGAATTGCTTCAATTCGACGGGGGCTTGCTGGTCCCTCATAAGGCAAGCTCACTGTAAACTCTAGTCACACTACATCATCATTTAAGGCACTACAATAAGGGGACACACCAAACAACTCTTCATCACACATACCTGTGCAAAACAAATCAGAAGGTATCCTTTTCTCTCATGAAGCTCTACTCCTCTCTCAGTGCTACAGTGATGAGCTCTAACCATTGCATTATATCACATACATTCCAACATGAATCAATTCATTTTGGTTTAAATACAAAGGATACATCAATTCCATCCCCAGGAACGTTTAAGAATTAGACAAACACTAAGTACAGAGTTCAAGTATAACCACTACACATTTTGATTACAAAGACAGAACATTTGGGGTTAGCAGGAAGTTTTGCTTGTTATATTTTTCTAATCAATATGTACATATTTCATTTTTATGTAAAATATTAAAACACCACCAATACAAAACTTCTAAAATAGTTTTAAATTCAGTAATAAACTTTAAAATCTGGATTTTTTTTCCTTTTTTCTTTTTCTTTCTCTTTTTTTTTTTTTTTCTGATTCCTACATGCATGTACTGTATACAAGTCTTAATAAGAGCGCTTTAAAGTAGCTGTTGACATATCCAGGAGGATACGCTCACAGGAGTATAAAAAGCTGTACATATCAATACAGTGATGTTTCATTGTATTTCAAATTCAACTCCCTCCTAAATGAATCATGTGAGGAAAAACAGTAAGAAAAACAGAACAAAGAAAAGCCCTGTGCTTCTGTGAAGGAATCCAGCTCCGTTATAGGGCCAGCATCTAGTAAGTTGCAGAAACCAAATTTTAGAGCAATGCTGCACTATTCATTCTCAACTGGAGACTACAGCATCCTGATGAAGCTGCTGAGTTTGGTTAC